ACGTTACGCACGGCATAGCGGCAAGGGATCCCTTAGAGATAGGCTTGGGACTTCCTGGCCACTCATGATCAGTGTGGACTCTCAGAAGCCTGCTTAGGACACCTGAGATCGGCGTGGGTCATCCCAAATATTTACGTGTATGTGGTGCTTTGGGGCTTTCCGAGCCCAAGGTGGGACCCACAGAAGCCAGTGTAGTCGGCGGGCGCTAAGAGACTGGGCCCAGGGTAAGCCTGGAGCCCTCGGATAACAGTGTGAACCGTCGGGGTCTGTGTCGAATCCCTTAAAGGAAATAGTTCACTTTCACGAAATTATTTTTTTTTGCAATGGATTTATGATTTTTTATGTTCAAAATGATCAGCAAAGAAAATAAAACCTATTTATAACAAAATATTATTTTCTATATTTTGATATAGGAAGAACTTTTCAGTTTCTGTAAGGCACACGCGATCCAGTATGAAAAGAGCATGGGTCCCGAAAATTCTTCAGAAACTAGAGAAATTATCGCGGCCACCGGCATTTGGGCGATCTGCTGCTGCTGAATGTCCTTATTGATCAGTACGAGAATTTCTCTAGAGTTCTCGTAGATAATTTCTCTAGTTTCTGAAGAATTTTCGGTACCCATGCTCTTTTCATACTGGAATGCAATATATGCAAGGCACACATCCTCAACGCAAGACACCTTTTTCGGGACGAGAAATAGAATATCTTTGCCTAGGGTGATCGTTGGGCTGTAAAAGCTCCTGATTCACTGGCGGTCCCAGGGGGGGGGGGGGGGCCACGGGGGCCATGGCCCCCCTTTGGTGCTGAAAGGTGGGGCCATACTATCTTTTGGCCCCACCTTTCAGATCGAACAAAAGTCCTAGAAAAGCTTTTCGTATGTTTCATTTTCTTTCTTGCGCCATCAAAGGACGTAAATTTCACTCATGAGTGGGCTCAGTTTCGCATTCTGTCAATTTGGCGGTCAGCGTCTCTGGCACCGGTTCACGAGTATGGCCGGATCTTATATGAAATATCAGCGTGGGTTTACTTGAGGCTCTCGTAGGCCCAGCAATGGCTGGCATGAGACCCTCTTCGGCAGTGGTGGGTGGGCCCTGCTAAAGGAGATTGGCGTAAGACCTCATGGGTTGGTGCTGTGTACCTCAGAAGCCCGGTGGTGACGCCGCATGCCGGCTTGGTTTCTTAAGGATTAGCGTGGGAACTCCGGGGCCTGCATAGAGTTTGCATGAGCTAGTATGTAATCTCAGAGGCATATGTGTGTCATGTGTACACAGTGGCGGTCGCGGGGGGGGGGCATCAGGGCCATGCCCCCCCCCCAAAGGTCAATAAAGGGGGCCATCATATCATTTGCCCCCCCCCCCCTCAAACAACCAATGGGCCCCCATATATGTAGGTGTATGGGGCCCTGGCAATTATTCGATCGTCACGAGGCTAAAAAAAAAACCACGGCCCAGCTATTAATATAGCTCCCACACCGGTCTTTGAGCGTCCTACACTGACCTCTGAGGGAACTTCAGTGGCGGTCAAGCGCCCACGTTGGCCGCTAAGAGCCTACATCAACCTCTGAGACCCCACATCTGGCCTATGAGGGCCCCTAACCGGCCTCAGGGGTCCCAACCGGCGTCTGAGGGTCTCACACCGGTCTCTGGTGGCCTTATTTCTGTCTGTGGTGTCCCAAGACGAACCTTTAGGTGCCAATGAGGGCCCCGCACTGGCTGCTGAAGACCCGACGCCGGCCTCTAAGGGCCTGCATTGGCCTCTGAGGAGGGCCCATCTTGGCCTTTGAGGGCCCTCTGCTGGCCTCTGGGGTCCAACGACGGCTCATGCCGGTCTTTTAGGGCCCCACGCTGACCTCTGAGGGCCCATGTTGGCCTGTAATGACTCACATTAGCCTCTGAGAGCCCAACTCGGTCACTGATTGTCTCAAACTACTGGCCTTTGTAGTTTGCAGGCCCTGTACTGGTCTCTGAGGGCCCTAAACTGGCCTCTACGTGAAAAGATACATGGGTGGGTTTCTGAAGATCAGAGGGCTCACGCAGTCTCCGGCACAGCCTTACGTTGGTCCTGATCGAAATTACTTTACGTCCTGATGGTCCGGCTCAGATTCCCTCATATTTCGACGTCGGGACCCCATGAGCCGGTGTGGGTCCTGGGGCTGGCAGAGACTGATGAAGTCCTTAGGGCTCAGGGCCAGTCTTTTTAGCAGTAAGACTAGGCAGGTTGAGTGAGCCCCAATAGAGCCGTTGCGAAGCCCCGCAGGAGTCGCGCGCGGCCCTCAGATGCCAATTTTGAAAGCTCGGAACCTGTGGGGGGTCTCCAGAGGTCGGTGTACCTACTCTCTCCCGCCGCCACACAACTAGGTATGTTACCTATATGGGTAGGTAAATGTCATAGTCTGAAAATGCTCTCTGGGTTTCACATGTTTGTTCAAAGCAAGAGGTATCTGTACTTTTCCAAATTGTTTTATAGTGGTAAGGTCATGAATCCGCGTGCCTGACCTTCCAGTATACCTATGCTACACCGATCCGTCGTCATGGTGCAGTGGGCCGACCGGTGGAAACACCGTGGGACGGGCAATGGAACTGGTGATTTTGCCTTAAATTGAGCTTAAAGATTTCACGCAAGAATCAGATGGATGAAGCATAGGGGAGAGTGGTGCAGGAGGCCCCCCCCTTAAGCTCAGTTGCTATTTTTAGACAACTGATAATATTTAAGAGCTAACGTGTGCATGCGCTGTGAGCATGCATCATTTTCCCATACATATTTGCATTCAAAATGAATCTAGGGGGTACACAAACCGTAAACTTTAACATTTTGGAAAAAGTTGCAAAAGGGCCTCTTACACTATGGGTATGGTAAGACGCCCCCCCCCCCCCCCCCACCCTCGGGCGTTTAACAAGGCAAGTCGACTTGTAAAAGACGTTTTGCGAACATAGCTGCAAGGCCTTTTATTTCGAAAAGCTAAGCAAATACGGTGTTATCGAAACCAATAACACTTCCAAAGCGCTCGAACAATGCGAAAACTAGCACAACCAAACGCTGATGACCAACGAAAATTGTACCTATTACCTCTAGAAAAAGAAACAGAAAAAAAAAACAAAACAAAAACAAACTCCTTGAAAAAAGAATGCCACGTCTGCCGCAGGTGCAGGCGTTTTAGCATCGGGGGCGTTTTTATCGGGGGGGGGGGGGGGCGTTTTATAATCCTCGAAGGGAGGGCCTCTTAAAAAAATGCAGTGTTTTAACGTCACAATATTTATGGTTTATGAGACATTTGCAGCGCACCAGAACATGGTCTATTCTGAAGCTAAAATGTTACAATTTCGATGAGATAAGATTGCATTTGATAGTCATTGTTTTTTCAGATATATAAGGGTGATAAAGATGCATATATCTAGCAAGTAAAGGGGCAAAAACAGAAACAGGCTTACCAAAAGTCGCTGCGACGCACCTGATACCTCAGGTTTCGTGAGTTGTTGTTTCAAGAGGGCTTCTGCTTTACAAGAACATTAAAAAATAAATAACATTATTGGTTTGGTAAAAAAAGCGATGGGGCCTCTTACCGACCCTGGGCGTCTTACAAGGATCTCCCCTAAGTAATGCCAACTGCGCGGCACCTCGTGGACGTAAAAAATTAGCCGATCACCCCCCCCCCATCCCGGTGACGGATAAATGTTATGTCACGCGAGTGTGACTTTGGCCCCCCCTTTTGCTAGCGGCTGCGACCGCCAGTGTCCTGATTTATGCTCGTCTCAGCCCAGGCTACGGAACTGCTATTCCAATTCAAAACCCATGTTAAAAAGTGAACTATTTCCTTTAAGACCCTACGTAGGGACATAAGAAACATGTGTTGCGGCCCTCAGAGGTGCACGTTAGTTGTGATCCCTCAGATGCCGGCTTGGGGTTACCAAAGTCTGTCGCTGAAAAGTTCGACTGAACTATCCGAGGCCAATTAAGGTTCTCAGAAATTTTCGAAGGCATCCTCAAAGATTCGTGTGTCCCTTCAGAGGTCTACATAATGTATAAGGTCCTCAAAGATCCCTGTAACGATCCCTCAAAGATCCCTGTTATGGGCCCTCAGAGAGCATGGACACCAGTGGGACTTTCAGAGGCCGGTTTGGGCCCTCTGAAAGCTTCTTCAGGGCTCAGTGGAGCTCCTTAGGAGCCTGTGTGAAAAGCAAGCTCATGAGCCCTGCGGCACTTTAGAGTTGAGAAAGACCGCGAAGATTTCGTGTCACGCTTTGAACGAAAATTATGTGTCAGTAGGCTCCAAAACTTATGAAAACCAGCTATAAAATGTAATAAAGAACCAACTAGGAACATGAAATGAATCACAGCATTGGCATTTCTGAGTGTGGAGTCGGAGTCTTGAAGATTTTTGGCGACTGCGACTCTGACTCTTGTTTGAACTGCATGCTCCAACCGAGTCTGACCTCACAGACATTCTCCGAAAGGTACCCCCATTTTTTCCCGACCCGAAAATCTCATCGGATCTGCATCGATCTCAGGGGGTGCCCGGTCCGAGGTTGGGGGGGCAAGCTGCCCCGCTTGCCCCCCCGTGGCGACGCTAATGGCCTCGAATCTCGATTATTCTAAAGTTTTCACTGAGGCAAGTGAAATTTTGGGGTTAAATATAGCTGCGTTTTAGTGAACGAGCCACAATCATGAAATTACGCATACCTTGAATGCAACGTAACTGTAAACACTCTAAACACGACACAGATAAGCGCTCTTCTCCGTGTTGTTTTCGTTTGATGCCTCTTTGAAGTGTGTGTTTTTTTTTACAAAACAAAACTTGCTCCTTTGCTGTTATATAAATAATTGCCCTTTGCTGTCAATTTCTGTGCCACACTGGTAGATTATTTGGAAACTCATTTTAAAGTTGTTAAGTTTTGAGGAAGGTGAGTGAAATTCCAACTTTACTCAACCTTGACCTGGCAGCTCAAACTAAAACATGAATTCTCAAAATCAAAATTGAAATTGGTGTTTTCACTATAGTCTGTTCCATATCAAGTTTGCAGTCAGAGTTTCTTCGGCAGATCGCTCCTCCACTCAAGAATTTGCGTCTTAAAATGTAAGAGCTATATTGATATATACAGAAATCATGCACTGCTTTCAACAGGGCACTTCAGCTGCAAGCTTGAAAAGGAGCAGAGTATAGTGCTTGTAACAACTTACTTTATCATACTCAACCTTATGGTAACAGCCAACAGGATTTTTTCTTTTGTCTGTAAGGCCTGTGGCCATGGGATGTACCCAATATATCTGGGCAATTTCCTGAATCCTGATACTAACTGCATTGCTCAGTCTGTGTCATGTCAATATATCGTATCATTATGGTAAACATGATTGACGACCAGTGTGCATCAAATCGCCATGAAGACATTCAGGGACAGTAAACAAGCAACCCAGACTGCAAAGCGTGGCATGTGCGTTGTGCATGTTCGAGGTGCGCCCAGTTTGATGGGAATGCATGCCTGGCGAGTAGAAATGCATGCCTGTGTCTCATGTCTGTGATTTGTACGCCTGGCACACAACATTTAAAGCTCAAGCTTACATGCTCCGCACAAGCGCAATGAAACCACTATTGAGTATTGAGCATCTTAGCTAGGCTTAGGCTTAGCACACTGCATTGAAAGTGTCTCAGAGAGCGACACCATTTGGGGAAACTGTGGTCAAATCTTCCATTTTTAGAAGTCTTTCACTTTTGGAAGATTCTTCCATAAATGGGTATGCATTTTTCAAACATGGAAGGCTTCTAAAATTTGAAGACCCAACCTCAGTTTCCCCAGCTGTGAATTTCATGTTTTGATGCAAGTTAAGGCCTTTCTAAATGTGTACCATTCATAATTTATTTTGCCCATTATAATCATTGATGTAAGGAAAAGTAGCAGTGCAGGTGTTGGTATTACATTATTTACAGGCATGCTATAACATTGTAAATAGTGATAAAATGGAGTGGTGTCCGTCAGGTCAGTGGTTATTTACTGCTCCTGCCTGCTGAGTGCTGCTTGGCTTCTTGCAGCTTTTGGAAATCAAGCTATTAGCTAGGTCAAATTCCTGTCACTGTGACATCAGCACCCTAAAGGCTGCCCTGAAGGCTGAAAGAGACTTTTGAAAGTCACGAAATTGAATCCAAGAGCCTGTTCATGAGAATGAGAATTTGCATCCCCATTCCTGTCACCCCCTCTCTTTCCTTCCATCCACATTCCTGCCATATGATCATTTCATAAATGTTTCTCTGCACAATATAAAAATATTCAAATATGACTGAGAATGACAATTGACAAGTGAAACCTTTATCTTAACCTTCTCCCCAGTTGGGGCGGGAGGGTAGGGAGGGGGCATATGTTACCACCCTGTCACGTTTTTTTTTGCGTGTCAATAAAAAAGCGCGGCGCGTAGCGTCGCGCCGCTTGAAGTAGCTTGCTGTACATCAATTTTTGACAATGTGTGATTTTGTTTTACCCCAGGTCATGTCAGGTCAGGTCACCAGGTCAAGTTAACTGACTAAGCCTAAAAATGGCTTTAATCCTACATTTTACCACACTTTTTATAGATTTATGTCATTGATACACTTTCCACTCTTTTAAGGCCTTATTTGACTGGCAATTTTCAACTTCTATCCCCATTTTCGGATAGGGATTTCCCCTCTTAAACCATAGCCAAAATACAATTTTGGGACACTGCCTTTGAGTCCTTGTCCACAGGAATTGTCGCCCGACGGCCGACACCCTGTCCGGCATTTTTGCCGTGGGAATTTCGTCCCAGTCCCGTCTGAAAACCGCATAGGACGGATTTTCGCATCGTATCGGTAGCTGTCGATTATGTCCCATTTTTAATATCGGATGAAAATATGTGTACTAAGTCAGCCTGAGCTACCTACATTGGAAATGCCTCGTCACATCGATTTCAAGAAGAGCATCTCTCGGCTGGTTTTCCAGAATTTCACTCGCTTTTCTAATCTATAAATACCCAGGTGATATGATGCTTTACCTTGAGAAAGTTACCTCATGGCTCCCAGCCCCCGTTCACGAGCTCCAGAATCCCTTTACCGTGACGTCACCACGGCGGCAGAATCTCCCTTCACCCATAGGCATGCATGCAAATTTCATCATCTTTCGGGCGAGCTGGAGAAAAAATCAAGGCTTATATGTCATCAAAAGATGTACCAATGTAACAATGAATTGGCCTCATTACGATAAATGGGACTGAAACTAAAAAAGTAGGCCTATATCGAGCAAAAATCAGCAATTCAAATCACCCCTTCATTTGAATGTGAAGGATTTCCTCTGATGACGTCACCACGGCGCCTTTATTTCCCTAGTGAACCAACCTGAGTAGTAAAGGAATCTTGATGGCTCCGGTCTGCCGAGATGACGATACTAAACATTTTTTTTTCTTCAGTTTGGATATAACTGCTGATACTTTTTTTTAGAAAGGGTTAGGCAACAGAGTCCGTCTTTAGCTGTCAGCTATAAAGCCTGCATAGGTACCAAGATGTGAAACATGTAGTTCGAAAGGTTTCTTGGTATCATATTGATTATTCATTTGTTGCCTGGTGACCCTGCATTAGATATTTAAACTTTTAAAATTTCAAACTTTACTTGCATATCCTCGCATGTTTTTATAGCAATTTCTCAGTCTACAAAACATGCCTCTTGGATATAACCCACCATGACCCACCTCACCGTCGTGCCAAAGCATGTTGTGGCGCTGTTTTGCGTTGTCACGCGTTTGCTAATTTGGCTTTCGGCTCGGCTTCTAAATTCGGCTTGTTCTTTTCTCTGTGATTTTCTGGCTCCGTTTGATCTGTGATTTGTTTGTTTTCAGAGGTGATGTTCTGAGCTGCGTCCGTGCGAATCGGAGCTGCCACCATGTGGATGCCAACGCACGTCCAGCTGACCGTGCAGCGCGCCAGGGGACTGCTGGTCAAAGGGAAAAACGGTGAGAAATGCGCCCTCCTTTCTCTTTCCCTTTCTCTCTTCTTTTTCCCTTGGTCTCCCTTTCGACCGTGAGTCTCGCACGTAGTGATGTGGCTTAATATCGTCAACGCTCTCGGTATCACCGTCCCGAACGGCGGCCGCTGCTGATCTGCCCCTTGCTGGGTTGAAGTGCTGCTGCTTTTCTGTGACCTCTGATATTGCGACTGATGTATCACTTTTATGTGAAGGGTGATCTATCCAGTGACTCTGTAACCGCCACAGAAAGCCGAGGCCGGTAGGGCTATCCGAATCTGCAGGTCTGGGGTTAAACGCAGGATGGCGTCCTTTTATCCGTGTTACTGGGATTTACTTTTAAAGGGACCCTCCCACCTTAACATTAGATTTGAGTTGAGATAGCCAAAATGGGGTCCCTGGCTCACAATTACCGGTTTCGGCACTCACAACATCGAGAAATGCCTTAAATCGGAAATATTGAATTGAAAAATGTGACGTCATCGCAGATATCTAACGATTTTTAAATGTTTGACTAAAACGTTTTGTAGCACGCAGTGGTATATGCTGCTTTGCGCGCAACAAATGCCGCACTTTCAAATAAAGTCCCTAGGAACAGCGGAGAGCCCAAAAAGTAAACAAAAGTAAAAGTCTAATATCTTGAAAACCGGTGAATATTTTTCGATGAAATTTGGTAGATATTCGTTTTTGCTCTTTCTAAACCGAGCGACATCACTTTCATGCCAATTCATTAACTTTTTTGAAGGTGGGAGGGTCCCTTTAATGAATGATGTCGTGGCAACATTCTCTGCATTCCTGATATATCTCCCTATGTTGGCGGCCGCTCCTGTCCTGCATGAAGTGAGACATCTATGGTAGGTATGTGCAAGAGCAGTTGGAGAGAATTAAGAGTTGCTACGTATGTGGCAGGTACTGACGCTTTGTTTCCGCTGAGACGTAACGTCCTACTGACAGTGGGAAAGCGTAACTTTGATACATTGGCACAGTTTGCACTGGCAAAGTGTAAACAACCGCAATCTCGACGTCTGTCGAGCAAAGTCGCCCTACGATTCCCCTTCCGTATACGTTTGTGATGGGTTTCCTCGTGGACCGTCACTGGTCCCTAATAGACAAGCGGTTAAGCTGATCGGTACGGTTGTTATTGAGCCGGCAATCCCCTCGGTAGGACGGTTATTGAGTCGGTAGTCCGCTCAGTAATGCTGTCACTTGCCACTGAGATCGTGGTCGCTCGGTGCGCTGGTTATTTAAACAGTGGTCCGCTCGGTACGCTGGTTATCACAGTGGTCCGCTCGGTACGGTGGCTATTTAAGCAGTGGTCCGCTCTGCACGCTGGATATTGAGACAGTGCAGTAGTCCGCTCGGTACGCTGGTTATTGAGACAGTACAATGATCCGCTCGGTACGGCGGCTCATATTGAGCTGGTGCCCCACTCAGTACAGCTGCCAGTGAGCCGATGGTCCTCTGCGTATGACAATCAGTGATCCGCCAGGCACGCTATATGCCTATTGTGCGTTCGATTTGTCGTTTCTTCCGCTGCGCTGGAAGCCACCCGCTTATCAGGCCAGGCGTGTTTCAGACCAGCGAGGATGGTGGTCCTGCCTCCGGCGTGGCTGATCTGAACGCCGCCAGCATCACTGGTCGGGATCTCACAGGTTATGCCCGGCTCTTGTAACCCCAAACTGAGCATGTTGCTGATAATGTGTGTAGACCCGCCGGAACATCCGATCACAATCTCATGACGTCATTTAGAGGTGGTTTTTGCAACGGTATTTCAGATTTTCTACGTCATTGCGCCCACAGGTGGCCAGCTGCAGATCCTTTCATTCTGGCGATCAAGGGAGACTCGTTTTTCTTACGCCTTAGATCAAGTGGTGATCAGCGGTTTGTTTTTCTGTGGCACACAGGTCGCTGATTTTTAGGATTGAAACGGGACACAATCGTTTTTTTTTCCGCAACCCAAGTGGGCCGTGGCTCGCCCGGTCTCTGTCGTCTTGGCATTGGTCCTAATGACTCCCCCGGTGTAGCGTAAAGGACAAATTACAGTGATTTGATTCTGAGATAGATGCGAAATTAAGCTAATTGTGAGATAGATGCGAAGCTAAGCTAAGTGTTGCTTTGAATTTTTGATATCGTCTTGGTCTTGTTCTATGTCCACAGTATTTATTTACGTCAGCAGACACTCCACAACACGGTGGCTATTACGTGTCAATTGTCAGTGAATAAAACGGTTGGGGAAGTCGAAAGGTACACGGCAAACAACAATCATCCGCCGAAACAGCACACACACGTACGCACGATCACTCCAAATAAAAGAAACGTTTCGCTGCCGGTTTAAAAGCCGCTGGCTCCGGGCTCGAGCCGTGTCACGTCACTGGGCATAGAGTTTAAAAGCGAGGCTGCTCGGTACGCAAACCCTCGCCGCCCGACCGCTGTTCTTGTAGCTGGCGGGCGCAAGTCACGGTCTTGTCTAGTGGGGCGGTTACACTGCCGTGCGTCGGCGAAAGTCACAAACAGTGAGGCGACCTCCTCGGGCTCGCCCAGGGCACGGATTCTATGCGCAATGACAGCGGTCTGCGCATCACACATCTGGCGCGGTGTGTGCAGGCCCAGGTCGCCCCGCGCGCGAGACACACGATCGTACAGCCCTCAGAGCAGAATGCGTGGTAGGTATTCTTTTTTGACAAAACCGATAATAACTAAAAGGCTGTGTTATTATTCGGTCGGAACTCACCGCAAATAGAAGCGCCATGCTCCACCCCTTCGATTGGGTCTATCACTAAACAAAGTAAACGCCTTGTGTGGCAAAAAAAGGCAAAAGTTTGTTTGGGGGCAAATATGAACTTTTGGGTTTCGCTGCCAAACTGGATGGAAAATGAATACGATGGTAATGCCAATCTAAGGTGCGGAGTCTCGCACGTCTTGCTCTTACGATTTACGAGTGACCGATTGCAAAGTATTCGCGCTATTCTCGGTTTTGTCGAAAAAAAGAATACCTACCACGAAGTTTGCAGAGGGCTGTACCTTTGGAGACCGGCTGCTACTCTGGTGGCAAAGTTCACAACTTTCAGTAGCTGTTCGTTGTTAGCCGCGGAGCCGTTCCCGTACACAGATAGACAATATCTCACGCGCGAGACGACCAGGCCCTGCACGACTGCAAGGAGCGTCCGCCGCGGGAGGAGGCTCCTCAGGTGGCGGAGACCGATCAGGAGGCCGACACACTTACGAACCACGTCACTGACATGAGCATCTCACGTAAGGTGGCGGTCGAAAATGACGCCTAGGTTTTTAACGCATGGGCTCTCCTGAACGGTCCCGCCACCGACCCGCACGCTGACAGGGGGGAGATCTCAGGTATTCTGTCGGGTGCCAAGGAGGAGGATTTCCGTTTTGGACGTGTTGAGTTTAAGTCCGTGGGCATGGAACCACGATGCCAAGGAGGTGAGGGTAGACTCTATGCGTTGGATGAGGTAAGGAAGATTGCGCTTGGTATTGGAAATAAGGATTTGGGTATCGTCAGCGTACTGGGTTACATGAGCGTCCGGCGCGTGCAGACTGAGGTCGTTGGCAAAAATGGTGAATAACAGAGGACCGAGGGCTGATCCTTGGAAGACTCGCATGTCTCTCAGTCCCAGACTCCCAGTCCTTTGGTGTTGATGTAGAATTGAGAAAAATGTTAATTATTTGTGCCAAATCCTCGCATTCGCCTATGCTTAGCCCGCCCAAGTAGTATGGCATAGGTAGTCCAAGTAGCAGTCGAGTGACGGTCCTTTTAAGTCTTTTTTTCAACTGAGCTTCGACTTGTGCTCAGGATTTCCTAAATGAGAAAATAAAGGTAGCTATAATGTATATAGGTACATTAGCTTACACATGCGCAACTTCGAAGGGCGTTTTTCGAAGGGCGAAGGGCGTTTTTTATGACTTGAGGTGTCCGACCTTTCGAAACACCGAGAAAATGGCGTAAGATTTTTCTCAGAATGACTCGAAATAATATAAGCATTCTAGTTATTTGCAATGCTTCCACTAGCCCCACTAGCCTAAGTTGTATTTGTACGATAATCGTAGAAAATTTGCCATTTTTTTTAGTTTCGGCCACGTTCGGATGTTTGCAAATTACAGCTGACCCTTCCCTTTGGTCTGCCGCCAGTTGGTCATAAAAACGGAACAATTCACTTATCATTCAAACATTTTTTAAAGTTCTCAACTCTAGCAAGTCATAGTTAATGTGCATTACTCGATCGCATTAGGCTAGCCTTACAACTGTTCGCTGTACCGTGAATAATACCAGGTTGGCGAATTAGAGTCAAGTTGCGCCGTGGCATTTCAGGATTTGTTTTATCGAAACTGCTGATCTTTTTCTTACTTAACTGGTAGTTTTCCCTCTTTTTAGCGATGTTTATCCCATAAGTGGCATGTTTTTGGTTCTTACTAAACTTTTTACTTTCTTGAGCTAGAAAGATAATTATGTATTTGCTGTCGGAATTTCAGGTATGCACCATCCGGTTATTGGCGCAGCTGGTGGTGTCTGTTGTGGGGCTACTCAGTACAGATGCCAGCTGGACGATACCGGCGTGCCTTTCTCGTGAACTAATCCAAGTTTTTGCTATTTCGCCTTCATTTCTGTGTAAAAGCTGTCTGCAACAAATTTAATGCTCGTCTCTATTCAATCAAGTTTGTTATAAGAAATATGTGGGTGGCCATGTTCAAATGCACACATGAAATCCGAAAAGGTTGAATTTCCGTCGCAAACCTGGACATGAATGACAGGATCAAGCATCATCAAAGAACTTGCCTTCAACCTGCAATCACGAACATCCAGAGAACCAGTCGCGGCTTCGGTCTGAAGTTCCGCTTCTCTGCATTGATAATTTTAGCCGTTCTTCCCAAAAAATAAAAGTCGTCCATTTCTTCAGGAACGGCGTCGCTGTCTCCAAAGAAACATCACCTTACTTGTTGCGCAACGTCTCAGCGGTCGCTAATTCCCGGTCCCAT